CGCTAGTTACTTCACAACGACTCTGTGGCTGTCTGGTAGGACACTCACATTCAAGAAATGTAATGAACCCTTTGAAGCCCAAACTCGTCGAAGTCTAAATATTTGAAGGCATTTAAAAATTCAGTCCATACCTCAAAGACAACACAACGCGTCTCTCTCAGAAAGATCAACTGGTTGATGCTGTTCAAAGAAATTATCGCTAGTTGCTCTGAGAATCAAGCGAAGCCTACAAGCACCATATGTGGAAAAAAAATATAGTTAATTTATTGTTAAATCAAGTGGTGCATATAGTTACCACTGGGCCTTAATGTGCAGCACGTCAAGCAAGTATGGAAATATTGCTGTGTAGGGTCTCTGAGTTGTTTGGAAATTCTTTTTTAAAAGCAGAGGGTCAGGGTTGCATACCTCACTTGTTTTCCTTCAAGCGTTGAATCACGGTGAGGAATGTTAAGCTCTTTGTGTCGGCTTAGTTGCTGTTCCTTCTTGATATCAGTCGGAAAGACCGCGCAGTTGTCATACGCGAAGATTAATTTCGTATCTGCCAGCAGGATCCAGCTTACCGCGACTGGAGCACTTTCAGGAAATTCCAGTGGTACTTAACCACAGCAAAAAATGCAATTCGGGAAGGACTCGACACCATTGTCTTTCTGCCTTTAACCCTCTCGGTAGCTTATTGGCATGCATTTCAAAATTTCACATTTTTATTTTGTGTACAAGTATAACGTAACGTGCATAAACTAGCAAACTCCACAGAGCAGAGTCTGCATATCTCAGATGTTAATATTCACTCTCCCAGTTAAGGAATTACCCATTTATGGAAATCAAAAATTCATTACCGTGTTCACAACGGTCGCTTTCATAAATCAGATTATTTAATCCACGTCATCCAATTTATTTTCGTAAGATCCATTTAATGTTATCGTCACTTTGCTTCGATCTTCCGAGTAATCTCTTCGGGCTTTCCAACCAAAATTGTGCACGTATTTATCATCTGTCCCCATGCGCACTACATATCCTGCCAATACCATGATCCTTGATACGATCATCCGAAAATCCGGTAAAGAGTGCGAATTATTTATCGTTTCTAGCCTCTTCGTCTTAGGTCCAAATACGTGCCTAATCACCCCGTTTCCAAACACTCTCAGTAAGTACATTAAATACTTCATGTCATAGTAAGTTTAATATAACTGAATCCATGGACTCTTAAGAAGCTGCTAGTATCTCATGTGGTCAGGAAATTCCCCGTATTTTACGGAACCCGAAGGTTCAATATCGTGTTCACAAGTGCACGCCCTGTTCCCCAACCGTAGCCAGATAATCCAGTCCAATCCACGCTCTCATATCCGGGTTATTTAATACCCCCCCATGTGTTTCATTGAAGAGCATCATCTGTTCAACCTTCGGCAAGTTTATACTTCTCTTAGTTGTGTAACGACACTTTCTCATGCGGTGTCAAAAGGCTGGATGAGTCACGAAGTAAAAGTCTCGCAGCCCAAGTTAAGATGTTAACCAAACCTCTACTGCTAACACGCTGCTTGCTTGCATCGCGTTTAATTGTGTACGCGTGTACCACGTAACTTGTCATTGTGTATCACGGAAGATGAAGTACGATGTATGTACCCAATTGCAAACATTTTCATGACCCCCCCCCCCACATCATCTCACGATTTGGCTAACACCTTTCAAAAAGTGACGTTTTAAACTTGATTTTAATTTAATTCCGGGCTTGTATGTTATGAAGTGTCTCTTAAACAGTTTATTTTACCTTCATAACAACCTCAGTAGACCGAATCATGGCGTTTATGGTGGAGTAAAAAGCGACTACATAATTCTGAAAGTCATGGAAGTACGATTATGTGTGGTAGGTCTATGGATACAAATAATGACTGTAACGAGGAGAACACGCTTATTTAAACTTAGCCGAAATTTTAACTTCATTTATCTAGAGAGGTTACTGTCGGAATTATTAGTGTACCTGGAAAGACGAAAAGGTTAATTGCAGATTATTTCTAACCCAAAGACAGTATTCAAGTGCTGGGGCGTGTGCTTTCAAAAGTTTTACCTGTTTAGGTTCACGATAATCCGCGCAGCCTGGTGGTAGGCACACACAGCTCCTTATAATGCTTTAACGTTACAGGCACAAATTCTCATCACCTCTGACAATAGGTGCCGGAAATAGAAGGTCGTGGATTGCCAACTTACACAAAAGGTTTCACACATTCCGTGGAAGACAATCTCATTGCATCCCCACCTTGTTACAATGGGGTTGGAATTTATGGCGCAGAGGACAGACTCCTCACTTGCCTGTCATAAATCTGCTTTTATACAGGGAAGATTGTCATTCCTGTAATATAACAAATAAGTACCGCGTTTCCGTGCTCACGACAACGTAATTGCAATTTTCCGGGATAGTCTGCAAATAAAGCCTTTGTTAGTAAACTTTCACCCTTCTCAGAGGGCAGAAAATAGCGAAACAAGGGGTATATAATTCTAGGTAAGTGGCCACATCAGGATGTGACTTATTTAAATTGTCCGACTTTTCTAGGTTCTTCATGTTATTATGTCTGATGCGAAAATATAAATTAAACGTGGTGAGATTTCAGGTTGTACCATGTACATGCGTTTCAGGCTGCCTCCGGTAAGCGCCTCTGAAACGTCGGTCAGTATCTACTAGACACGGCTCAACATCCTAGAAGAATTCTAAAGCATTAATACAAAGTGCAATGGAAATCTGAATACCCAAACGAGATGCAGTTAGTGGATAATGGAAGAAACTACATGACGGTGTCTTCTTGACAACAAGCTGACAAATTTACTGGTTCTATGTGGGTAATTAAAGAAGATTACTATTTACTAGGCACGTAGCTGGAATAGGTAAAGAGGATTTCGATGTTGATCATCTGAGCAGTAACGCCGTGTGGGCTTGTAGGTAGACAGGGGATACCGGGATTCATTCTGCTGGGTTAAAGCGGCCGGTGCGTGAAGCCTCATTTCATTCTAGTGCTGAGGTTAAGAATGCGCGGAGTTGTACATCCATTCCACGTCTGCACATCGTGGTTCTTACTTAAGCACCAGAAGGAAATGCAATTTTATTAATCAACAGTAAAAATAAAGTAAAACTGTCCCACTATACGCCATGTAGGCGCTTGTGGGAGAGTGGGCACTAGATGGGCCCCGGGAAAGGGCCCCAGAACCGGTCTGGTCTGCCTCCGTCGGGGACCGAAGTCCGGTCGTCCAGTCCGTAGCCAGTTGCTAACTGACTGAGCTACGCCGGCCGGTAATCAACAGTAGCGTATTTATATCGCTGAAGCTAGAAATTTGGGTAGAACTTACAACTCATACTTTCCTTAATATAACACAATAGTAAAATATACGCTGGTAACTACAAACCCGCTTTATTATAAGTAGGGATTGTTTAATCAGTAGAGTAACTGCAATTACAATTGAAATTCGGTTCTTGGCAAGTGTAGGACAATTTTTACTTCTCTGCCACATCCAAACTCTTGAGTCCAGAGTACCAAAGACTCTTTTCCCATAGGCAAAGCGGACCACCTCCATATAGTGCCAAGGAATACTTGGAGCTTTACCTCAATTCCCCTTAAGACTTTATTAATTGGTGCTTATTTAAAAACAGAAATAAGCTGTCCTTGCCTTACTTTATATTCCATATAATAATCACACTAACCGCAACTGCAATTTGCATCTAACATTTGAGGATTCTATTGTATGGCATTAGTGTTGCTTACACCACATAAATTATACTTGGAAGATCAAGAATGAGATAACATTAAGTTAGATCTTATGGAAAGTAGCTGTGAGAATTGCAGGTGATTGAACTGCCTCAAGATTCCTGTCCAATGGCAGGCCATGATATTAGCGGTGTTGAAACTTAGGGTTATTTGACGTTAGTAATAGAACGCTTTCTCATTTGTATTCAGGGCTCATGTATATTCCATGGTTATCGTGAATAAAGTATAGGGAGGTTGAAAAGAAAACGCGAAACGTTACAATTTTTTTTGTTAATATATTTTAATCGTATTACAAAGGTACATTAAGCTAAGTTCTTAACAAATCATTGTGTTCACTTTCAGTCATTCCTCACTGAAATACCAAGAGTAAATTTCTCATGGGTACTTTAAATGTGCATGTTGCTTTAGGTCACCACACAACTTTAAAAATGAATTTCACTTAATTTGATTTGCAGTCTTCAACATTTCATTTCTAGGACATTATCTGGCATCATCTGGTAAATGTGGAATCCGATACTTAAAGTATTATTATGTGTGTATCTTAAGTATTACACTTTTGATGGTAATGCATCATTCTCTGTTTTGTGAATGCTGTGTTATTTAATGCAGCCTTCATATAATTTCTATCAAATTAATGTGATTCTGATGAAGAACTCTCTCGTATTTTTCAAAGAGAAAGTCTTCATGCATTCTTAATGGAGAGAAAGGATGTGTTTGAGTTACAGTCCATCTGTTCTGTCTGCTGCAAGAGTAAGATAATTCGCTCCTTGTTGATAAATGCACTTTATATGAACAGCTGCTGACCTCCAGACATTATTTCTTGTTCTTCCGTACATAGAAACATTTCTGACAGCTTTTTGTTTTTAGGCATTTACTATTCATCATACTTTAAAATCAAAAGTGACGAATTATAATGTAAATTTGAGGATATAAAGAAACGCTAAGAACCATTGAAGTGCCTCAGGGTCAAGAAGAGCCTATAGTTAGAAAACTTTATGGAAAGAAGAATTGAACTTTATATTTTGTGGAAGGTTGGGATGGTGGGAATAGACAATAGTGTTAGGAAATTCGTTTAAGAATTGTTATAAACACGTTTAGAAATAGGTACTTA